TGCAGCATGTAAGGGCAAGCACAGGCCATGGTCAGACATTTAGGAGGAGGAAAGAAAAAATACAAGGAGAGCAGAGACAGCAGATGTGGCGAGTTAAAGTTAGAGAAAGGAATGAGGGTCAAAGGTGTCTGAAGTTCTGTGAGTCAACTTTCGTTCTGCTGTTGCCAGGAATATGTTGTTCCAGTTTTAAACAAGTGTATACAAGGCAGTGGAGCGGCAAGGTGGGGTCACGGCGTCACAGTCCGAGGGTGGGCCTGCAGATAAGCCCGGGCGGCTCAGCTCGGTCCGCTCCCCCGGCGCAGCGAGTGACTGCAGAGTACACCTGGCCTGGCAGCTTCAGACCATCCAGGGACAAACTGGGAAAGGCTTCCTCCTCGGCCGTAACCCAAACTGACAAAGGGAATCATGCACAGTGGTCGGAGCAAACGCGGCGAGGTTGACAGTGTTAATGTGTGACTGCGCTATCATGCAGTGGTTCCTGTGTGTACGTTTATGAATGCGTGTGTGTGTGTGTGCGCGCGTGTAGCAGAGGATCCTGGGTGGCAGGACGAGGCTGGTCGACTAACAGCTGTCTGCTTTCCTAACCTTTGTGTTTGTCATACCAGGTTAAAGGCAGGGCACGCTAAGGAGAAAAGAAGATAGGTGAAAAAAGGTGAGAGTAAAAGGTCAGGCTTGAGCATGGAAAGAAACTCATGGTGCGATGGTCTGTGCGACTCAGAATTGTTAAACGTTTCTGCTGTAGATGGAAACCTTTTGTAAACTGAAACAAGCTGCCGCTGCCCTCTAGATAGCGTCTGCCCCAGGGTGCTGCAGTGAGAGCCTGCTGTTAAGGATGCTGCATAGAATTAAATACAACTATCAAGATCACATCAGTCAACAACTTCAGAAGCATAACAAACCAGAGACTAGTAGCCTCTTTTTCTCACAACAGTGGCGTAGAGGCCCCCCACTCCACTTTACTTCACATTATCTCACTGCCCCCTTTTAGTGAAATTTTCAGTACCCATTAAAAACGCAGAAGAAGAAATGCAGTGCATTAATATATACAGATACATGCACATAATAAACAAACAAACAAAATTTAATGTAAAACCTGCTCTGGCTGCTGTGTCTGAAACTACTACTCTCTATATAGCAGAGACTCAATAGATTACTCCATAATGAGCGATAAATTGAGATGTTGGACACTCATGAATCCTCGTTATCTGGTGTCATCACTGACAGCTGTTAAATCACACAAAGGTCATTTTCACACCAATAAAATGTGACATATTGCAGTGTATGATTTTTAGCAAAAAGTGGCGTAAAAATGCTGCGGATGCTATTTTTTAAAAATTCGGATGCAGGAAGGTTTGAGGGACGTATATAATACATAAATTTCATTACCCCATTAGATGCACGAGACACACCTGGGCTCAGTTTTCTGTGTTGAGGAAATGTGTGTGACATAACCAACATGGAAGTTGCCACAGTCACTTCTTCCTGAGTGTCACATCATCTGCCAGGAAAAAACAAAAACCCTGAAAAAACACATGGCTAAAAATAAATAAATAGATAAAAAGAAAAATACATTGGTTGTGCAAAGACTTAAAAAGATTTCAGGATTAAGGTTTTATAGATTAGGTTGAAGACTTAAAAAAAAAGCAGCTTAGTGAGACAGCTCTGTCCTTCATTACAGGAACTTATCAGTTATGTTATGAATGAAATACCTCAAATTCTTTCTGGGCGCCTCTGAAATCCACCTTAGAAGTTTTTTTAGCTCTTTTTGAAATGTCTTTTAACGCTTTACACATACTCCACAGTTACGATTTACGAAGACTGTCTCTCTCCCTACACTACTGATTTTACAGATTTTGTATAATTGTCTTTTTTGTTGCAACACATTTTTCCCTTGTACGCTTTATTCTAAGAAACAAGCTGAGACAAACTTTCCGCAAATTGTTTTTGTCAGAAGATGAAGATATACTTGGATTCAATTTTCTTTTTGCCCCTTTACTTGTTCCACCATCCAGCTTTGTGAGAAGCTCTAACACCTGTAAGTCTCTTTGTTTTGAAGAGCAGCCGCTTTTAAGTAAACCAGAAAATTTCAAACAAAAATCTGACCCGGTGTCACTAAAACGCAGCTGGTAGATGCTTATTTTCAGTGATGGTCCCGTTGTTTGGCGAGAATGTCTTATAAAATTACGGTGAAAATGGTTTACAGATGTTAGTACCATTAAACAAGGCTCAGACATTCTCATTTAGCCAAGCGTGCATGTAATTAGCTTGTTATACACTAGAGGGAAATGAATAAAACGATACAGAGTGGAGTGACTGCCTCCCTTAAGAGCAGAGTAGTGCGGCCCAGCGTAGCAGCCAGTGTCAGATCCCATTCCTGCCAGGTCTGAGGGACGTCCACTTCTTGACACTTGTCCAATCCGAGCTATCTCAAGCTCTTTCCTCCAGCTTCACGCCAGCTAATCTCTCCTGACACCTCACACAGCCCCGACAGGGAATCACTCCATGCTGAAAACAATCCAGCCCTCCTCCCTCTCCACCCCCAAATCAGTACCAGCCCCCCCCCCCTTCTGTCTGTCTTCCTTCTATTTCTCTTTACCCTCTCCCTCCCTATCTGTCTCTTCCCCATTACTTCTCTCCATGGCCTACTCTTTCTCTCATGTCTCCATCTGTCTTTGTCAAGCCGTATTCTGCTCCTCTTCTATCTCGCACAGTCTCTCCTCCCCCTGTCTTTTCTCCTCCGTCCTCACCTCCTCGCTGGGTATGTCACGCCTCTTTTGATGAGGATCTGTGAAAAGACGCCACGATTGCCGATTGAGGAATAGCCTGCATTTCCTTAAGGACTCATCGGCATTCAGAAAGTGCATTTTACTCCACGGGGAGATGTTGTTGGAGGGTCTTTATCTCTGAGCGCACCTTTACAGATGGAGGGAAGCTCCACAGGATCGCTTTAAGATGGGACGCAGGGAGCATAAACACAGAAATCTTTCCCCCGACACCCATCACCCTAAATATATTTAACTTTTTTAGAGAGAAAAGAGAGATGAGGGACTTGCTCATAGGATCTTTTTTTAATGTTTGCACTGACAGGCCATTGTTAAAATTCCCAGTTTAAACAGAGCAAGAAACACACATTTCCACTCATGTTGTTTGCACTGTAGTTAGTTAGTCTCACAGAGCAAATGAGGTCATTTACAGATCATTTTCCCCCTAATTAGCGTATTTGGGATACAAGAATTCTCGCAAGACAAGTCACTCAAAAAAATCCCATTTATTATTTAAATGTATTCAACAATTTCAAAAGATAAGATAGACAAACATGTCATAGATTTCATTTACAAGCTGTTTGTTCTTCTCATTATATCTATAGAGGCTCCCCACCCTACAGAGCACAATCTCATTGGCTGCTGAGTAAAATATCTGTCATTGGCTGTAGCACAGAATAACTCTGGAAAAGAACAATGTAGCTATGGCACGGCACATGCTAAAATGCAGACACTCACTGGTATGCACAGATACATACGTAGATCCTCATACGTGCAAACATACACACATACACACACATACACACACACACACACACACACACACACACACACACACACACACACACACATACACACAGACAAAACGTGCACGCACACACACACACACACAAACGTGCAGTCATAATAGGCCAAGTCGCTCACCCAATCAATTTCATTCTCAAGCAAGCTGTCAGGCCGCCATGTTGAGTAAATATTACCATAATGCCTGTGTGTCAGTGAATATGCACCTAATGAATGGAATGACATCCAGTGAAGCTCAGAGACACTGAAACAGAAAAATTGCCCACTCACCATGCCTGAAAGCCCCCCCTCTACCCCCACCGACCATCTTGCTCTCTATGTCTGGGTCTCCCCACCCACTTCAGAAGGCATATTCTTATTTTATTTTTTTATTTTTTATTTTTATTTTACCGCGAAAGAAGGCTCGGAGGTCGCCACAGCAGGGAAGAAAAAAAAGAATGGGCGCTCTTCAACTTGCGTACCTCAGAAATCTGATCTGAGGTTTTTCTGCATTCTTCAGTCACGTGGCCGGTCGTGCCGAGTTTACAGCGTCTACATAAAAACTAGAACATCGAGGAGACGATTTGAACTCTACTTTTTAATCCGAACAGCAGCAGGACATTTTTGTGGTTGAAGTGAAAAGTGTGAGGTGGTTCGTAAGGGAAGGGTATTCTCTATATGAGATGCTTTCTTTTTCAGATACATTGGAAGATACAGTGCAGAATATATTGTTATTCTCCACATGAACAATATATATAATTACCTTGTTGTATACCCAGTGATGGAGAAAAACACCCTCTGCCATCAAATACTGACAGTCTTGATTTGAAGATTTCTCTTCCAGCTGTTAGATCTCTGAGCTGCATCACAAATAACATCTCACAAATCCTTACTCTCAGTCAAACAGGATATCTTCACACTGGACAAATATATTCTTTTTTTTTTTTTTAATCTCATCTGTGTAGAATATTATGCATTTCTACAAAATAAAAAACACAATCTAAGGAAAATTTGCACGGAACAACACTACAAGTTTCAGTCAATCGAGTCCACTGACAGTACAGCTGACCGTTGCCACGGAGAGAAGAGGTGAGATCGTCCACTTTTTGCAGGGTTTTTCATTTTAGTCGTTGATATTTCTGTGCAATGGAGCAGGGCTGAAGAGGAGAGACACTGATATCTAGGAGCTTCTGACACGTCGGCATTATGCTGAGGAGCGCAGGCAAAAAACCCAGCCCACTTCCTCCCCACGTCCCACTCCTCCCACGCCGCCCGCCCGGCCCCTCTCAGTGCATCCTCAGGAGCTTTGCACCCAGGCTCGGCTACAGAGCCTGGGTGTCTTGGCTGATGGATACGAAGCAGAGGTGTCCGTGATGATGGAGAGAATTAGGAAAACTAGAAAGCATTCCGGCTTTTAACACACACACCCCCTCCCCCCTCCCTCCCTGTCGCACAACTCTCTCTCTCAATCTCTTCCTGTCTGACCTTCTCTGTGTCTGTGTGTGCTCTCAGTCTGCGTAGAGGATGAAGCCAGAGAAGGTGCTGTACTTGTTGTTGTTGCCTCCGTGGGCTTTGCCTCCGTCGAGTTTGATGAAGACCTCGTCTCCTGCGTCCAGATGGAGGATGACGCTGTTGGAGGCGTAGTCGTAGTTCTGGTCAGCGTCTTGGGCGATGGCGCTGGCACGAACCTGGAAGAAAAAGGGCAGACGTACATGTAGGAGAAGGGATCGGCTTGTTAGCTACAGTACGTGTCGGGACATTAGGAAATGCATTTAAAAGGTTGTCAGGCTCTCATACTACTCAACCCGCATACCGCATTCACTGGCGCAAGTCTCTGTTACTGCAAATCTGAAGTAAAACTATATATAGAGCTCTCACATACTTCCACCAAGGCTACACCGTCCTCTACATTTGTTATTTTGATAATACAAAAAGACCTGCACACAATCATGAGATATAAGTGCTTTCAATAGCTTGTATGTATTCTGTTCAAGAAAGTGCAGAGTTTATATTTGAAAGCACCCAATCTTACAATCTTAAAAAAAGCCATTTTGCATGGCCACAGTTTTTTTTTTTTTTAATGGTATCTTCTGACAAGGTTTTGAGATATTCTGCTAATTAACTAACAGACAAACATTTTAGGCCAAAACTGTTTAAAAAAAAAAAAAAATTTTGGGCAAAAATTTTTTAAAAAAAAAAAAAAACAAACGTAAAAACTTCATCATTTCTTGGCAGAAGTAATGAAGAGGCAACCAAAGAGCACTTCAGAAAACGTGTCACTAGTCTGAGAAATCACTTTGCTGCTTCACCACAAGAGAATTTCTGTTGCACAGACGGAGAATGTCTCAGTTAGGGAATACCCAAAATAAAAACTCAGTTTTTCATTTTGAAGTGAAATAAATTACTGGACACAACAATGGCAGAAATAGTTGTTCATATTGATATTAAACCTACAGAAGCAACTAGAGGGTCAGTCAAACCTCAGGCCTCTCTGTCAAGCAGATTTATGGTTCCAATCTAGCCAGTGGTCTTAGAAGACCTAACATTCAACCTTGGAACAAAAGGTCCACAGAAAGAGAAAGTTTCAGAAACTTAACAGCGGTGTCTGAGTCTCGTTGTGCAGGAAATGACTGAGAAATAGAACAAGAAAAACATGAATGACGCGCGCTGGATCTGAGCAGAAATATTTGATAATGCATAGTAATGAGAATGACAAGAATCACTGGAATGAGGTTGTATGATGAAAAAAGAGAAAAGGTTTTATTTATGTTAACCTTTGTCTGACTGTGTGTATTTGTGTGTGTCAGTGTGTGTATGTGCATTTGGCCATTCTGGCTATAGGACATTTGGAACAGTTTCTAAATAACCTGTCCTGGCTAATTAAGACCTCCACCACAAACATGCTCTCTCTCTCTGGGGAGGAAAGTGTAGCTGCACTGCCAAATGGGCACTGAAACAATAGATGGGGTTTTCATGCATGTGTGAGCATGAGTTGGAATGACTGCAATGTAATGTTATAGCTGAAGCTGCATTTTTTTCAAGACACACAGAGCTGTATGTGATGTTTTCTGCCTTTTATTTTTAAAACTGAAGAGAGTGAGTAAAGAGTTAGGAGACACACAGTGAAGGTCACACACTGGATATTGCCTTCATACAGTGTGTGCCTTGTCCGGTGAGCCAAGAGGCCCAATTAAATATGATCCTCCGCTACAGTCGTGAACTTAAACCTTATTCTGTACAGTGCAGACTGCAAGTATTTGGACAGTGACACAGCATTTTCTCTGGTTTTGGCTCTGAATTCCAGCACATTACATTTAAAATTTAGTTTAATGCTGAACTTGCAACAATTCCTTTAAACTGGTAAGTAAACAACTGCTAATATAACACAAACAAATAACTCCTTTAATAAAAATAAAAATATCCATATTGGTGCAACAGAACCAGACATAAATTATTTTTGAAATCCACACATTCTTCTTATCAAAACCTGGTGCCTATTTTACCCAGAATGCAACTAAACCATCAATAGTTCTATTGGGAGAGATTGGGATGTGTTATATTAGTATCATGTAATGTAGTCTCAAGCCACTAGCCTCAGGCAGAGATGGGGATCACGCTACAGTTTGAGACCCAACCAGACTTCTCACTGCTCCCTCTCCCTCCACATGTGTGGCAGCACTCTCCATGACCTGTAAACAGACTTTCATGTGTAAAACACTGACTGTAGGGTTAAAGCGTTTCACATTCATATTGGGTGAACAGTGGAGAACTCATTGCCTATACCTCAAAGTTAAGGTTATGCCTCAGCATGATGATCCTAACATACAGACCACAAAGGAGGTTTTTACGACTGAACTGGGGGATGTTCTTGACTGGTCACTTGATCTCAGTCCATCTTAGCATGTGTATCACATGCTGAAGACCTGACTGAAGGCAAGACCCCAAACCATTGGCAGAGTGTCACCAAACATTTATCTTGATTTGTCCAGTTAAATGTGCTCACCTAAAATTAACCATAAAAGGGTTATAATTCCCATATGTCAACCCAGTATGAATGAACATTAGGACTTGTTGGGCCTTGTTTCATTTCAAATCCAATATGTTGGTTTACAGAGCCGAAGCAACAAAAACTGTTCAACTCACCAAATACTGACAGTCTGCACTGTATCTCAGTGCTGTTACACAGTCTCTAACAAGGAGATCTGCATCATTCATAAATTACATTTAATAAAATCGAACGATAAGATCATTATTTTCTCTCGAGATGAAAAAGGAAGCACTGTACATCCTTTAAAGTAACCACTGGTTAAATAAGCCAATTAGTCACTTAGTCTGGTCCGTAAGGTTGAATCAAAATCAATAGTTTATGTGCATTTGAAGTGTTTTCTTGTGGCTCATTATCGAGTCTCAAAAGTCCATTGTGGCCCCTGCCTCGCCTCAGCGTTTGTCCACGCAGCTTTAAATCGGGGCTTTTCTAGCGGGTGTCGACAAGCTGGCCCAACAGGCGGCAAAGAGAGGATGCCCAATAATTAGTTGGCGTCTTTACGGACTACACACAACAGGCATATTGACAAATGTGAGCAGAGGCCAGTTACTAATGGAGATCTCCTGCACAGAAAGCATCACTATTGCCAAAGCTAGCCGGGATCCTGGAAAAGGTTCTATTGACATTTAATTTGGTAAAATAATAGAATCCACTCATTTCATAATTAACATCTTGCTAACACTAGTGCGTTGTTTTTATTTGTGTTCATTTGTTAGTTTTTGCTCTACTTGACCGGACTACTGCAGCTTTCTCTATAAATTCTGGTAATGGAGCCAAGTTTCATTAAGGGTGTTCTTGTGTTTTGTTCAGTAATGGCTATCGCTGCTAATACTAAATCCTCAGCTCATCTTCTGTTAATTTTTAACAGCCTGCTGTTGGGAACATAAAAAGTGTGCAGAGGATGTGCAGAGGCGTGCAAAGTCTTATTAAAATAGCAAACGTAAAGCTTTCAGGAACTCTCCAGTAGTTTGAATCATTCTTACATGAGAGAATCTGAGACCCTATACGTTAGTTAGGCCCTTTGATATCCTATGCGTTTTCCAGCTGTAAATGATACAAGCATTAAAGACCCGTAATAGAAACCAGAAAACCTTAAGAGAGGCATTTGAGTTTCTTAAGTGCTTTTCTCCCGATCAACACAATGACAAAAACAGACAGTACCTACACTTGAGGCTAGAGTGGATAATGAAATAAAACACAGTCTTTCTTGCTCTACTGCTGTAAAAAGCATTTAAGTGGAAAGATGCCATATCTGTGACACCTTAGATTGAACCTGGCTAAACCCGGCTGTGTGCTACAGTATGTAGGGAACAGGGCATTACACAACATCTCTGCACAACACTTCATTAAACATTATATAGAATTTCTGCAAATATTCACTAGTATTCACAACATTGCAACGGCTGCTACAGTGTAGTGTTTCTGTCATTGATGCCTGACACTGATTTTTCTGTATGAGCCAGCATGGACTGCAAATAATGAAAATGAATTTAGTTACTTGCAGATAACTATTGTTTTTTTGTTTTTTTTTTAACCTCCAAATCATTATCATGCTTCTATGCAGAGGCCAATATTCTGCTGGATTTCTTGTGAAGTCCTTTTGCAATCCATCAGGCACTCCTCTGAATGATTTTCAAACACAGAAGAACTGTTCTTTGTGTTGCCTTCACGGCTCATAGCATTGAATTGTGGAGCAGTGAGGAGCAAGGCTGACACGTCTTCAGCTTTCTTAACAATGATTTAAAGAAAAATTGATAAATAAAAAACAGCTCAATTTTGTAATGGAAGGTGAAATGAATAAGAGAATTGTTTTTTTTTTGTTTTTTTTTCATAGTGAGCCCAGATGCATTTAAAAGAACATCAAGCATGGGCACAACACTTGAATAATTGTGAATCAGGTTTTTGCAGCAACATTTCAGTCCTGGTGACCTTCCACAGGCTCCATAAAGAGCGAGACAAACTTCACTATATCGACTGAAGCACCTGGCACAGGTGTTGGTTTCTAATTTGTAATAAAGATGTGAGACAGATGGGAGGGTTTCTCAAACCCTTGAACAACATGCCACAGACAGTAGCGGTCACGTTGGTGTGAAATGTGCGAGTGCTATAAGGCTAATCTGGATAATGAAATTCTGAGGAGAGGTTTTAAGATGCAGGAGTAATATATCGAATATTGTACATTCTTTTTTTTTTTTTTTTATTGTTTATCCTCCTGATTAAATCTAGCACAGCTCATATCGATGTGCAAACAAAGCCTCCTGTTCTGATTCTGAGATTTCTGCGTCCAGTGCATATTAATATGATATGATATGCCCTGAGTGTGCAAAGTCAACACCATCTTATTAGAGGGTTACCGCTCTTGGGTTGGTGGTTGGGGGGGTGGGGGTGATGACGATGGCTCAGGAGGATTTGTCAGTTGGGATTTTAATGAAACTTTATCAAAATATTTGCTTTGCAGCTGTTCATGCTGAACCTGGGAACCTCTGGCAATGTCACAGATGTGTAATATAGCTTAAATGATTCTCTTCATTTGCTCTTTAAGGAGCTAAATTTAAGACTTCTTCAAGAGCATGAGTCATGCTTTTTTTTGGGGGGGGGGGGTAAATACAAATATAACATTTCCCTTTAGCAGAGACAGAGCGA